ACAGACATGAGCAGATATTTCACAGAAAAGGAAACAAAAGTGGACAATAAATGTTTAAAATGTTTTAAAATGCTCGACCATATTAGTTACTTGAGAGAGAAAAACTAAAAGTATCTACTATAATGACACAAATTTTAAAATCTGATGATATCAAATTTTGGCAGAGATGTGGAGTAATAAGAATTGGCATACATTGCTGTTGGTAGTACAGACTGATACAACTTCTTTGGAAAAAAATGTGTAGCTAAATAGTAAATTTTAAGATGCATATGCTATTTCACCCAGCCATCTTATTCCTCAATATAAACACTGGAGAAATTTGTAAATGTTCACCAAGAGACATGTTAAGAAAAGCTTATAACAACATACAGCGGGGAAAGCTGGAAACAACCCACATGTTGCTCTATGTAGAAAGGATAAGTGAATTGTAGCACATTCATATAATAGAACACCATACAGCTATGAAAATGAGCAAACAGGGGTGTCTGGTGGCTCAGTCAGTTAGGCGTCTGCCTTCAGCTCAGGTAATGATCCCAGGGTCCTGGGCTACCTGCTTAGCAGGGAGTCTGTTTCTCCCTCTCCCTCTGCCCCTCCTAGCCCACTCTTGTTCTCTCTCTCTCTCAAATAAATAAATAAAAATCTTAAAAAAAGAGAGAAAATGAGTGAACAGCTGCTACCTGTAGCAACTTGGATGAATCTAGGAATGCTGAGCTAAAACAGCAAGAAATAGAATACATTTGGTATTATTTCACTTATACAAAGTTAAAATTAATGAAGATATTAAAACTAATGAAGATATTATTATAATAAATAGTTATAAAACTAATGAATATATTATTTAGGGATACAGGCATATATGATAAAATTATAAATAAGGCGAAGAAATGGTTACCACAAAATTCAGATAGTTGCTTATTCCAGGGGAGTGAGAAGCATTGAGCTGGGTAAGGACATACAGAGTAATACTCAAAGATAGTATTATCATATTTAGGCTGGGTGGTAGAACAGGGGTTTTCATTTAAATATTTTTCTTTAAGTGTGTGTCTAAACTCATGTGTGTGGTACATTGTACCATAAATTTGAGAATCTAAAAATAGTGAAGGCTTATTGAAAAAAATCTAACAATATGAAAGGATACACAATGATGAACTTTTAAACCTTTATTATTCTATAAATCTTATGATGACAATTCTTTCCAACACTTAAGTGCTCAGATAGAAAGCAGGCTTGATAGGGACACACCTGGAGCTCTTAAGGAGCTATTAAGAAGGGATATTTTCCCCGCAGGTCATTTATGTAGGATAAAAGGCACCAACTTCAAACGAAAATATTTCACTAAATGTAAACAGCAGCTAGACCTAATAGTGCCAAAAGGCATAACCCTGAGACTGCTGGCTTTGCTATTTTTGCAAATCCTTGACTTACCCTTGATTTGACACAATTCTGGCTCTATGTCCCAACCATATTCTCCTGGGTGCCTCAGGGAAATGCCTTCTCCAGTTCAACTTGGACCACGAACTGAATATAAGGAGGCAGTGCGCTGTAAAGATTAAGAGATTTCCATTCTGGAGGCAGCTATCCTGGCACTGAATCCTAGATCTGGTGCTTAAGATTTGTTTGATCAACTTTCTCATCTACAAAATTGGGGTTACAGTAATAATAGTTTTTATGGGTTCAATGAAATAATTAAGTAGACCCTCTGATGAACATTCACTGTTTTTCACTCAGTATTTGCCCCCCACTCTTCCAGAATTTCATTTTGTGATCAGTCCTGATGGAAATTTTAATCCAAGTGCCCTTTTTTATCCCTAATCAAGTGTCTGATGCAAGCTCAAAACTACACAGACTATTTCTCCTGGAACTTTGATTCTTATGTGGAATGAAGCATGGCTAAAAAATAAAATTAAGGTTTATTCTAAGACCTTGTCCCACTCCACTACCCCCCCCAAAATGCTTGATTTCTGTCTTATCAGAGGCAGTACTATCTTCTTACCTTTGATCCTGTGAGCATCCTCATATTTTTCCAAAATACGAATCTGTGCTTGTTAGAGTTGGTTTTAGCCACTTGCAAAAATAAGTTCTGAGTGATATAAAACACCAAGAACAATCTCTGGCACATAGTGTTCGTTGTAGTGTTTGTTGTTATTACTATTTTCACAACTGAAATCCTCCCTGGCAGCACTTCTACCAGACTTTCTCTGGTCCTGCCGGTGGGAACTAAGCGCTCAGGGCCTAATTATCCTGGGGTGAATGGATACAATTTAGTTTCTAAATGTGATAGAGAGGTCAGTCTGCATCCATAGAAGTCAGCGAAGGTGCTGATATCCCACAATGGGCGCCCGTATGCCCACCAACTACCACCGGGTATTGTAAGGACAGTAGCATAAAAGCAGTACAGACAATAAGTACTAGAGTATATGATATTTCAGAGGAAGAAGAGATCACTGAGCTTCAAAGAGAGGGTCTAAGCTGGGCTTTGAAGAACTGTAGAATTGGGGCAGGCAGTTAGGAGAAGGAGAAGACGTTACAGGCAAAGGGTGGAGAGATAGTATAAGCAAAGGCATGCAAGACATGTTTGAGGACAACAAATAGACCATTTGTCTGAAGCAGAAATTTATTATAGGATAATGGTAGTGGATACTGTTTAGAAAGGTAGATTGGAATTAATTTTAGACATAAAATTCTAGACGTAGTCAAGTTGCAAATATTTCTATTAAAAGAGACTCCTTTCAATATCATCACCATCATCTCTACCCATCAGCAACACTAAAATATTTTTTTTGCATCTTCTGGATGTAATTTGGAACTATGGAACACTAGAGAGTTCTTGCTGACCTTCAGAGGGGACGTTTTGGAAACCATTCTTAGATAAAATTATCATATAATCATGACTTAAGATCATTCCAAAGAACAGGTGTGGGTAAAATGTTCAGAAAGTAGCACCTAAAGATGGAAAGTTTGTACTGATTGTACAAATTATACATGAATAATTCCATGAAGAAAAAGGGTTTAAAAACAGCTAATAACTTCTAAGGGCTTTTATTATTTGCTTTCCAATAAAGATATGCTTTGATGCCAGGCACGAAATGTCCACAACATAAAAACCTAACCAGAATGTTTAAACAGATGCTTATCAGCCCTGGGAACTGCCATAAAAGCTACTAAGCTGGTGGTTTCCATTGTGGTGGTCTCTACCACCTTTTTAGGAGTCATAGCGTTGCTTTGTCCTTATTGAGCAGAGACAGTGGTGGTGCTGGGGACCGTACAGGTTGCAGGTTTAAGGTGTGGTGTTTGTAGGGGAGGAGATCTGTTGATTTACTGATTATTTACATACACATCTGAGTCCATTGTTCCCCACTTGGAAGCCCTTATAATAACCTGGGACTCAGATGGTATAAAAAGCAAATCCAGGCTCTGCTAGAACGGTACCCATGACAGCCATGGCAAAGCTTATTCTCCTCACAGGTGAGTCTGCAGTCAGAGACAGAGCCTTACTCTTACCTGATTTCTTTTTCTCTCCGGATCTGACAGCTGTGAAGCAGTCTTCACATTATACCTCTGGGCTCTTCCATTCTTCTTCCATCATTTCAAATTTCCAAGAGAATCCCTGACATATACAAATCAGTCTATCTCTTATTCTAATCTCAGCTGACTCTAGTAACATTTCTACCTTCATTGATCCCATGGGCATTGTCCTAACAGAAAGGCTTATTTTTTTCCAATGCCGCTCTTATTCTCTAATCCCTTATCAATTGTTTCTTGTTCTGCATTCATCTTCCTGCACCACATCATTTTAATTGGTATCATTTTTATTTACCTGCTTGAATCCTTGGTCTAGCTTTTCTAGGGATGAAATCAGTAGGAACTGAGATCGAGTGATGTGAGTTATCTTTGTTCTACTGTTTTCAGAATTACTTCTTTTTTATCCCCTACTGTCCTACTGAGTTGCTGATGTATCATGGATAAAGAACATGTGGTCTATACATAATACAATGGAATATTACTCAGCCATCAGAAAGGATGAATACCCAACTTTTACATCAACATGGACGGGACTGGAGGAGATTATGCTAAGTGAAATAAGTCAAGCAGAGAAAGTCAATTATATGGTTTCACTCATATGTAGAACATACAGAACAGCATGGAGGACATTAGGGGAAGGAAGGGAAAACTGAAGGGGGGGAAATCGGAGGGGGAGACGAACCATGAGAGACTGTGGACTCGGAGAAACAAACTGAGGGTTCTAGAGGGGAGGGGGTGGGGGGATGGGTTAGCCCGGTGATGGGCATTAAAGAGGGCACGTACTGCGTGGAGCACTGGGTGTTATATGAAAACAATGAATCATGGATCACCACATCAAAAACTAATGATGTATTGTATGGTGACTAACATAACATAATAAAATAAAATTAAAAAAATGTCAGCTAGAAATGCAATCATTTAAAGGGGTTAAGTCAGTAAATTGTTTAGAACCAAGCTATATCCGTTGTTTATTAGTTGTTCTAGAGCTGTGATTTACAAACTTTTTATAGTTTCAAAACCTTTTCTAAATGAAACTTCTAGCTCAGTTTATAAAACAATCATGTCAGAAGTGCTCTGGTGGAACCAGGGAGAGGCATCTGGAGTCTTGCTTGCCTCACAGTTTCTGGTACTTCTCTTCTACTATAAGAGCTCCTAAAAGGTGGCTCCAAGAAAATTCCTAGGCTTCAGGAGATACTGAATTCACTGCTTTAGAGGATGCCTTCTCTGCGGAAGGCTATACTCATCCCGGTTCAGGGAGGTGAAGCACCGATGGATGTGTACTCATTGAGTAGAGTACATTCTGGGTAATTTCAGTAGAAATTCAGTAAATCTTCCAAAACAGTAGCCTGTGAACTCTGCATTTAGTAACATTTATTATTGACGTGAAAGCTGGAAGAAGAGAGTGCCATGGCCATTTTTGACTAAGATGAGGGAAGTGTGGGTCTATGGGTGCTTTCACTGGAAAACCTACTCTTCAGCATAATCCCTATGTGCCCCTGGGCTGTAACAACCTATGGCAAATAGGATGGCACCCAAGGCCTCAGAATCAGATTCCACAGGGTATAGACAATTGGTTCAGAGTGCATGTGTTTTCTTTCCCTCCGGCTCTGGCACTTCTGCTGAATGTTCAGCTAGGTAAGTCATGAACTCTGTCTTTTATCTTTGACACAATCTTTTCGTACCATAAACCACAAATGTCTATAAATTACTCATAATGCAATTGTCTGATTAATGTATATCAAGAGATAAGCCATATGAGGGAAAGAGAGCTACTGTCTACTTCACAGATGGGTTTGACATTGAGAGAACCTATTATTTTGGATTGGCTGTCACTGCTAGCCTCTTTAGCATGACCACTGGGAGTTATAAATTGGTATTCACTGGGTTTCACAGGACTACTGGACATCTTTTCTTAAGAGGTTCTTAGGCTTAAGATCCCCAAATGAATCTGTTGGAGTAAAAAATAACTAACCCCAAGTCAGTGACTAGTTCCCAAGTTAGAATCTTTGAACTCATCTGCAAAAGTATTTATATTAAACACCCCCACATAGAGATCAGGCATTGAGGTAAAGGGAGGGAAACAGAGACAGAGCCAAAACTCACAGCACCTTTCAGTGGCACCTAAATCAGGCCATTATTCTCACTTCTTACTGCTCTCAGGTTCTGCTTACCAGCTGACATGCTACTTCACTAACTGGGTCCAGTAAGGGCAAGGCCTGGGGTGCTTTAAGCCTGATGACATTGACCCCTGTCTATGTACTCACCTGATCTATGCCTTTGCTGGGATGCAGAGCAACGAGATCACCGCCACTGAATGGGACGATGTGACTTTTTACCAAGCTTTCAATGGCCTGAAAAACAAGTAAGAGATGGAGGAGATATCCAATTTGGTGTCTCCTGGGTTGGTGCTTCCCAAACATTAATGTGCAAACTAATCACCTGGGATCTTCTTAAAATGAGTTCAGGTCCAGTGAGTCTGAGGTGGGGACCAAAATTCTACATTTCAAACAAGCTCCCCAATGATGCTGATGCTTCTGGTTCAGGAAGCTACACTTTAAGTAGCAAGGATATAGATAACACAGCACATCGCCTGCTCTAGCAGGTGTTCAAAATATATCAGTTCTGTTTCTCCTTTCCCTGTCAATATCTTTTTTTATGATCCAAGAAACTGCAAGCCATCTTAGCTACTCACATCAGAGAGCAGGAGGTGGAAGATAATGAAGATTAGACATCACTGAGCCCCCCAAATCAGAAATGTCTGCTGTATTTTAAGAGTTCTATTTGTGTAAAAATGAAACATAACAAAGGAACAATAACTCTGGTATCTTTTAATTTCTGATTTGCTCAGTTTAGCTATTTCTAGGAGAAATAAGGCTACAGGCCATCACTACCGTCAGTAATAGTACTATCTTGAATGTAACTACTAGAATTTAAGTTATGATAAATAGAGGAAGTAAACTTCTGTGGAGCGGTATTTCTTTAAGTGTGATCCATTGACTATGCATAAGAATCACATGGGGCACCTGATAAAAATGTCAATCCCTCCCACAGTCCAACTGACTCAGAATCTCTGAGAAAGGGGTTATAAGCCCAGAATTTTAATGTTTTTGCACTCTGACCATTGCACTCCGTTCTTATATAAACTGTTTGAGAACCACTATTCCAGAAAAATGGGCATAATTTTAAGCAACTGATTTATATTCATTATCTTGGAGGTTGAGAAAGTAATTATGCTCCAGCAACATTTATCATTTCATCTGATGGAACAGAATATGATTTAATTATGCTTTTAAGTTTTGTATATATTATTGCCAATAGATACTTTTTTTTACAAAATCCGCTCCCATAATTTGGATTTCCTCAAAGAATTTTGAGTGCATTTATGATAACAACACAATTTTGTTGTTGTTGTTGAAGTCTAATTAACATACAGTATTATATTATTTTCAGGTGTGCAATATGCTAATTCAACAATTCTATACAGTACTCAGTGCTCATCATGATAAGTGTACTGTTCCTCTCTTTCACTTATATAACCTCATCCCCTTACCTACCCCCTCTCTGACAACTACCAGTTTGTTCTCTATATTTAAGAGTCTGTTTTGTGTCTGTCTCTTTTTTTCTTTATTAAATTCCACATCTGCTTGAAGTCATATGACATTTGTCTTTCTCTGACTTACTTCACTTAGTATTATCCTAAGTGTTGGATAACAACACAATTTTTATAAAGAAAGTCTTCAGTCGTGAAGGAAAATTATCCTACAGAATATCTTATCAAGGCAACATCAAAGTATATGACCAGGCCCAATACCAAAGCAATGTTATTTTTAAATAGAAGGACTCATGGATTTTGAATTTCTCTTTTCTATTCTTTGCTTTATAGGAACAGCCAGCTTAAAACTCTCCTGGCCATTGGAGGCCGGAACTTTGGAAGTGCCCATGAAGTCTTCTCTGGGAGAGCCGGGTGTTCATTTGCTATTGAAAACAAGTTATGTTCCTTTACACTTCACAATCTAAGACAGGGTATGAAGGATGCACATTAAACAAATAGGCTACTGGAATAAATTACTCTACCAGTACCTCAATATTAAAGTAGAACACAATTTATTTTATAGGTTTACATTTAGATGTATATTCTGGGATTCCATTCACAGAGGTTTAGTTACTGAGATTTCAAAACAATCTCTTCTTAAAGTATTTCAAAAGCACAATCCATGTGGAGAGTGCTATAGCACTTCTATTTACCTTCTGGGGGAAGAGAAGAGAAAGTCATGCAAATAAACAAGAAGACTTTGAAGGCATATGAACTTGGGGGAGACTATTTGGAGAGAGAACATGGTGAGCTGAGGTAGCCAGGTTTCAAATCAACAAGTGCAACCTAGGGGAAAAAAAATCAGAGTTGGGTGGATAACAAAATAAAGGGAACACTGAAATACCATGGCTGGCTGAGTACTGATTACAAAGTAAGGACAAGAGAAAACCAGAAGCATACTTATATCTGGGCTGTGGGTCCCCAGTGAAGAGCTCTGAGGCAGAAGTAGAGAAGTTTGATTTTACTAGAAGGTGTTGGGACCACCAAGGCGTTCCGTTGCCTTCTTTGGGTCTCCCTCAGCTTCACTGCCATGGTTTCCACGCCTGAGAACTGCCAGACTTTCATGGCCTCAGTCATCAGATTCCTGTGCCAGTATGAGTTTGATGGGCTGGACTTTGACTGGGAGTACCCTGGCTCTTGTGCGAGCTCTCCTCAGGACAAACATCTCTTCGCCATCCTAGTGCAGGTGAGGAGGGAAGTGGCAATCTCTAACCCAAGAATAGTCAAAGCCTATTCTTTCCAGGGAGAATCTGGTGTTTCCCAAGTGCAACTAAACTGGAATTTAGAATTATGGAATCTTCACGTCACAAAGATTCTTAGATATCATACCTTCATTCAACAGCATTTCATAAAGGTAACAACAAGAACACATGTGTGCTATGTGCCAGGCACTATTCTACTTTATTCTACTATTGTATTTTAAAAATTGTAACTCATTTCACCTGTACATCTATTCTATGATCTAGGTACTATTAAGAATCATAATCTTTATTTTACAGAGGAAACTAAGGTTTAAGTAACTTGCTTAGTATCACACAACTACTAGGTGTCGTAACTACCCATGCAGTCTGGCTACAGAGCCTACTGCTTCTAACCATTACGCTAGACTTATTACTTACTTATTTGTTGAACAGCTGTAGAGATAAGAAAGAACATCTCTATTCTTAGCCGAAACATACCTCCAGTCATAATTTATAACTTCCAGTCATTGGCTCTAGTTCTGCTCACCAAAATAACAAAGAGTAAGACATCTTTTGTAATCTATCATTCAATATTTGCAGACTGCTGTAACATCCTGCCTATAATTTCTCTTCTTCCAGTTTAAATACCTTAATTCCCTTAACTAGTATCACATGACAATTTTCAGACCCACACTTCACTGGAACACACTCTGGCACACTCTAATAATACAATTTTAAAAACTGAACCCAGTCCTCCAAATGAGATTAGAGTCACCCAAAATAAAGGTGCTTGTGCTAAATAATGTGAACCCATCACTTGGCTGTAACCACTTCCCTTATTGACCAAATCAGCATTTCATTTGATGGGATGTCAGTCCTATAAAGCAATTCATTTACTGGATGAAGGGAAGCAACATGTATACTGCCAAAAGCTGGAGAGAGGTTACTGCAGCAACTGTAAGTTCAGAGTATAGTGATATAAGTGGAGCTCCGACTGGTCATCTGGGACCTGCGTTCTGGGCATGACCTGGCTACTAACTTGCTGTGGGACTTTGGTGAAATTGTGTAGCTTCTATTCATATCAGATAGCTATAAAATCAATTGATATCATCAATCCTATCTACTTTATAGGGATATTGAGAAACTAAAGAAAGATAAAATATAGGAAAGCATTTTGAAAAAGAAAAGCATGATACAAACTTACTTGTTTAAGGAACTGAAATCGGATGCATAGATGACCTACTGTACTTGATTATTCTATAGGAAATGCGTGAAGCTTTTGAGCAGGAGGCCAAGCAGATCAACAAGCCCAGGCTAATGATCACTGCTGCAGTAGCTGCTGGCATCTCCAACATCCAGTCCAGCTATGAGATCCCCCAGCTGGCCCAGTGAGTCAGTCACCCTAGCCTCAAACTCCTGTAGTTATCACTTTTGCAAGGTGGACTTGTCCTCAGTCTGTCTTGCTATTCAGGGACCTCATTTAGGAGGCTTTGGGAGTGGTATCTTTTGCCTGCATAGGTGTGGGGAATGACTATCACAAATGTTTTTAAATCCCTTACCCCACCTCAGGTACCTGGACTATATCCACATCATGACCTATGACCTCCATGGCTCCTGGGAGGGCTACACTGGAGAGAACAGCTCCCTGTACAAATACGAGACTGACACTGGCAGCAACGCCTACCTCAGTGTGGTGAGTCCCTGCACACATGCAGATGCAGACCAGAGATGAGGCTGTACATCATATGGAAATTCAGGGACAAAACAAATGAAAATTCTGCAAATGTCTCACTTGGATAACCATCCTTTCCAGTGGCTGAGCCTATCTCATTAACTATAATGTCACCAAAATGCTTTGAAAAAATACTATCCGTCTGTCATTAACATCATACAATTTTGCCTGTTAGAACAGTGGACTAACATAGCAAAGCACTGGGTCATCAGCCTGGTGGAGCCTCTAGCTAACATGTTGTCATTGCAGGATCACATCATGAACTACTGGAAGGACAATGGGGTCCCAGCCGAGAAGCTCATCGTTGGATCCCCCACCTATGGCCACACCTTCGTCCTGAGTGACTCCTGCAACACTGGGGTTGGTGCCCCCACCTCTGGCGCTGGTCCTACTGGCCCTACACCAGGCAGGCTGGGTTCTGGGCCTACTATGAGGTAGGTAGATTAGGCTGTACAGTTCTGTGAATTCCATGCCCTGTGCTGAACAGAATGAATGCTCATTCTGTCCGCTACTTAATCTACTTAAAATACAGCTATCATTCCAAATGCTTCAAGAGTTTAAGTACCCTATTCATTTACCTAATCCAGTATGAAGAGCACTTAGAATGTGCAATATCCCTTCAAGCACCAGACTACATATTTAAGGTCATTTATATTAGCATGTAAGAAAATAAAAGAACTATATCTCTCAAATTAATGTGGGCTCCCAAAATCAAGTATTAAGGACAGGGATAACAGGAATATTTCAAAAGCAACTTGATATTATTTACAAATAACAACCCACAATTAGAAACCAGGAAAATCCTAATTGGAGACATGAAAGAAAAAGAAAATCAAAGAGGCAAGTGTTTGTTTCTTCTTTCATGGGGATCTTATTTAAAAGATTTGAATCTCTTGACTTTTTAAAGATCTGTACCTTCCTGAAAAATGGAGCCACTCAGGCATGGGATGTTCCTCAGGGTGTGCCCTACGCCTATCAGGGCAACGAGTGGGTTGGTTATGATGATGTCAAGAGCTTCTGTCTCAAGGTAAGGTCAGCCTGTCTGACATACTGCGGGCCCAGCCGTGAGTCCAGGGAAGTAAAATGACCTCTGGTGTCCTCTATCCTTAAATAGGCTCAGTGGCTTAAGGAGAACAATTTTGGAGGTGCCATGGTCTGGGCCATTGACCTGGATGACTTCACAGGCACTTTCTGCAACCAGGGCAAGTTCCCCCTGATCGACACCCTGAAGAAAGCTCTTGGGCTGCAGAGTGCAAGTAAGTGAAAACAGAAGGGTGCCAGGGGTATACAATTGCTCCTTCTCCAGCTCAAAAGGCAGCTCTAACATCTGTCCACCCCCACTGGCCAGGGAGTCACTTCCCATTTCCCCTCACTGCTCTTGCCCAGCTGAGACACAGGTGCTCCATTCTTTCCCTACCCTTGAACTTCCAGGTCAGGAATGTCATGCTCTTATGGGAAACCGTGCCTACCTGAGTGAGTTTTCCACCTCGGCTAAGTCTTAAAGGTGTGGAAAAGCCCCAAGAAATTCGGCTGACCTTCAATATATAAACATTTACTTTTCTATGAACACTTCCCTTGTGAAACGTCTCTTTCAGCCCACCTGGAGACTGAACAAGAAACCCTCAGTACTGCTCACATGTTTCTAATCTGTAATTCAGGGGAAATACCAAATCCTTAAATTTTTTCCAGATTTTTCTCTTAGAGCTCATTGACTTGCCACTTATACCCAGATCCTAGGCAAGTATTTTGCACATATTGGTGCTCAGTAATTTCTTTTTTAATGATTTTGACATCATAAAGGACGAGAGAACTTTTTAAATTTAAAAGCAGAGTGGCTTGAAATTATAGCTTTTCCTGAGTATGGAGTTATCTTGTGATGTCCTCACTTGTAGGGATCCAGAGCTAACAGCACTCCACCTCCAGACCTTCTCCTCAGGGCCATTAGTCTCCTCCCCTCTAGGTGAGGGTGGGAGCCTCTTCCAGGTCCATGAGTCTGTTTTGTGCTGTTTCAGGTTGCACTGCCCCTGCTCAGCCCGTGGAACCCATAACTCCTACTCCCAGGAGCTGAAGTGGAGGCGGAAGTGGGAGCGGAAGTGGGAGCAGGAGCCCAGCTCTGGAAGCAGCTCTGGGGGCAGTTCTGGGGGCAGTGGATTCTGTGCCAGAAAAGCCAACGGCCTCTACCCTGTGGCGAATAACAGAAATGCCTTCTGGCACTGCCTGAATGGAGTCAGGTACCAGCAGAACTGCCAGGCCAGGCATGTCTTTGACACCAGCTGTGATTGCTGCAACTGGGCATAAACCTGACCTGTCTCCATTCCCGGGTCTCCTTCGCTTAGTACATCTTGCTCCTACCTAGAGTTCTGCAATAAAAGCTGTCAGTCAAAACATGAGCCTTGGGGTGCCTGGGTGGCTCAGTCATTAAGCGTCTGCCTTCGGCTCAGGTCATGATCCCAGGGTCCTGGGATCCAGCCCCACATCAGGCTCCCTGCTCTGCGGGATGCCTGCTTCTCCCTCTCCCACTCCCCCTGCTTGTGTTCCCTCTCTCGCTGTGTCTCTCTCTGTCAAATAAATAAATAATCTTTTAAAAAAAAATTTTTATTATTATGTTATGTTAATCACCATACATTACATCATTAGTTTTTGATGTTGTGTTCCATGATTCATTGTTTGTGCATAACACCCAGTGCTCCATGCAGAACGTGCCCTGTTTAATACCCATCACCAGGCTAACCCATCCCCCCACCCCCTCTCCTCTAGAACCCTCAGTTCGTTTCTCAGAGTCCATCGTCTCTCATGGTTCGTCTCCCCCTCCGATTCCCCCCCCTTCATTCTTCCCCTCCTGCTATCTTCTTCTTTTTTTTTTTTTTTTAACATATAATGTATTATTTGTTTCAGAGGTACAGGTCTGTGATTCAAATAAAAAAATCTTGAAGAAAACAACAACAACAACAACATGAGCCTTTTTGGGTTAAGTGATTGGGGTGAAAACATTTCTAGATGTGAAAATAAAGATGCTCAGGGGCAGGGGGTGGCCTAAGAAAAGAGTGTGTGAGGAAGTGGGGGAGCCTGTTGATCTGCATGAAGGTCGGAGGCTGTCAGGAGGAAATGCTTGAATATTTGGTGCCGGGATGGGATGAGGGCATGAAGAAGATAGGTCCGTAGCCTGGAGACTGCCCTCAGGAAAGAGCCAGAGTGATTCCGTGACACTTGGGGGCACAGGCCTGTGGGGCTTGCTCGAAAAGATGAAGCCCAGGGCACTCTGTCCATACCTGCTGAGGTCCCAGAGCTGGCCCAGCGCCTCCTAGACCAGGATCCTTTGGGGATGTCTGCCCAGCCTGTGGACCCGCAGTGCTCCTTCATCAGGAGATTGTCCCCTTCTTTGAAGCCATGGCCGTGGTCCCCAGCTGCTGTGCTTATACTGCATCTTCTCCTCCCCTGGCTTGGTTGATTGACTAGGATGGACATCATCAGACTCAAGAAGGCTAATCAGATCATCAAGCCTTGAAATCTGCAACAGACAACAAGGAGTGGCTGTCATACCCTGAGAATGGCTTGCCCTGGGATACTTAAACTCAGGAGCTGTAGTGAGAGGCTGTGGAGGAGGGCAGTTGCTTTGACTACAAAGCAAGGAGACCAAAGGGGAGCTGCAGTTGAAACCCTGCACGAGAGACGGAAGACACGGACAGCTTTCCGCCTTTTGATTCTAGCTCCTTCCTGAGACTCAGATGCCTTTGTGCCCTTGGGCTCTGTGAAACACCCCTATACCTCTACCGTAAATTCCTCTTTGCTGCTTAAGCTGGCTTCAGTCTGTTTTTTATTGCAACTAGAAGAATCCTGATACAATGGCTCCTATTTTTTTTTTCTGGCAGGCTTAGTGTATGTCAAACTCTGTTCTAGGTGTTTTACATGTATTTTATTGTTTAATTCTCCCAGCCACCCTGTGAGGAAGATAACATTAGTTCCAGAAAACTGCGGCACAGAGGAATAAGTCACCTGCCCGAGATCACCCAGCTAATAAGTCGCAGAGCCAGATCCCAAGCCAGGCAGGCTGGCTCCAGAGCTCACAGTCCTAACTACTATACTTCACCACCTCCCTTGATACAGATGTTATGGTTCACACTGTAGATGGCCACTTTGTTGATAGTGATAAGGCACAAGCAGCATTCTGGGTAATGATGACACATTCATGAGCTCACAACACTTGTGGTTATTATGTGCCAGGTAATATTCTAGGTACTAAAGACATATTGGTAAATAAGATAAAGATTCCACCCCTATGGTGGTTATATTTTGATGGTGAGAGTGTTAGGCAAACAAAGAAATGAAAAAAAGTGTAACAGTGATAGAAAGTGAAAAGGAGACGAATGTACTTTAGTTTGGGCAGTCCGGGAAGGCCTCTGTGGGGGGCAGGGGCCTGGGTGGCGCAGTCAGGTGAGTGCCCGACTCTTGGTTTCGCTCAGGTGGTGGGATCGAGCCCTGTGTCAGGTGTGGAGTCTGTTTGAGATCCTCTCTCGCTTTCCCCCTGCCCTTCCCCAACCCCTTCTCTCTCTCAAATAAATAAATAAATCTTTTTTTTTTTTTTTTTTTAAGGAAGGCCTTTGTGGGGAGATGAGCCTTGACATTCAAGAAGAGCCAGTCATTTTGAGATCTGGGAAGAGGGAGTTTTGGGCACAGGTGCAGCAACTACAGAGTCCTTGAGGTGGAAATGAACACGGCACATTAGAAGAAAGAAGACCAGGGCTGCACTGGGGTAGTGGGCACAGGAAAGAAATAGGGAGGGGTCAGATCACGCAAGGTCTTGAAACATGGTTAGAAGTTTGGATTTTATTGTAGGTGAGCTGTGGAGCCATTGGAAGTTTATAGCAGGGATGGAGAGGTGGTAACATGATCTAAATTCACCATTGAGAAGAGAGGGCTGGAATAGGGTTACAGAACGTGGGAAAACCGCACTCATGATTGTAGCTGATGTATTGAGTTCTGAGCGCTGACATGACATGCCTTGAAGATCAAAAACATAGATATGGGAGTGTCCTCAATAAGCAGGTGAAGGCAAAAGTCAGCAAAATTGGGTACTATCGTAATTACGTTTCTAACCGAAGAATAAGAAAGCCTAGAGTTAAATAGAGCATAGGAATCTAGGCAGACTCTTTGGAAGGAGTTTCTGTTTACGTCACTACTATGGCAAATAACACTGAGGGGGCGACACGAGGATGCAGGGAACTGGACTTGGTGAAGGACACAAAAGAGGCCATTGACTCTGAGGAAAAGCATCTTTTGTTTTTTTTAAGATTTTATTTATTTATCTGAGAGAGAGAGCATGAACAGACGGGGAGCGGCAGGCAGAGGGAGAAGCAGGCTCCCCGCTGAGCAGGGAGCCCGATGTGGGACTCGATCCCAGGACCCTGGGATCACGACCTGAGCCGAAGGCAGTCGCTTAACCGACTGAGCCACCCAGGCGCCCTGAAGAAAAGCACCTTTGAACAACACAGTGGCCAGCTGCTAGATCAAAGTGGTTTCCCAGACTAATACCTTCTTCCGATGTCACTATTTTCCCATAAAGACTGATTCTGTCACCATTTCTAGAATGCAGAAATTACTGCAGCCTAAAAAAATGGTGCCCCCCATTTCTCCTGCTTCATTTACATATTAATTAGTCAATCCAGTGAATGTTTACTGCATACCTACTACATGCAAGAAGAGGACAGGCACAGTCCAGCTCTAGATCCATGAAGGTTCTAATGTCACCTCCTTTGACTCTTCTCATTCCCTCCACTTCAACTATGTTAGCCTCTTTTCTGTTTCTCGTATAGTCCAGGCCACTTACTGCCTCAGGGCCTTTGTGCAAGCTACAACACTCTCCTCAGGTTTCCATTTGACTTTTGACCTCATTTTCTTCAGGCCCTTCCTCAAAGCCAACTTCTGAGCGAGGCCAATCCTGGCTGCACAACCTAAAATTGAAAGCTCCTTATTCCTTCTGCCCTTCCGGTGCTTCTTTTCTCTTGGTACCTGCCATATCATACGTCTTATGTATTTACCATTTTTATTGTCTGCCTCCTTCAGTAGAATTAACCTCTGTGAGGATAAGGATTTCGGTTTACTGCTATGTTCCCATTGCCTAGAGTGCCTGGCATATTACAAGAGTTTAATAAGTGCTCGTTGAATAAATAAATCGGTGAGGGCAGGCAGGGAGACAGGAACTAAGAAGGTGAGTATTCCAAGCATGAGACTTTGTACTTTATATAGACTTATCTCCTGCATGGTGGGTATTGTCCCCACATTATAGGTGGGGCAATTGAGATCTTGTGAGAAAACCTGGCCCCAAATTATGCTGTCAATAATCAGAAGAACTGATTTTCAAAGAGGGGCCTTTCGGTCTTCCTTCTCACCATAATGCTACCCTTCAGAAAGCAATGTCACAAGGACTTGGAGGGCTTCAAGGGTGGGGCTGCTGCTTAGCAGCCAGTCTGAGTCACACCCTTCATCTTTATGTGTTCATGAGAGTGGTGACTCATAGAGCCATTGTTGAATGAGGGAAACAGGTCAGTTCAAAGGCCCTTCCTGGGGACATCTGGTACAGAGCTTCTTGGAGATCTTCAAGGTCCAAGCCATCTGATCCACTTGAGTACATGAGTGACAAAATCCTGCCAGGGATCACCCAGCCATTTCTTTGGAACTTTACTAATGGTAATCATGTTCTTTAAACTCTAGTACATCTATGAAAACTCGTTCCTTCGGTATGGGAGTCTAACTGGAAAGAGAGGGGGTATGCTTAGGATTACATAAAAGTCCTGATGCAGGCAGGGCAGGGGGCAGTGCTCTTCTTACCAAGTCCTGAGCCTTGATAAGAAGTGGCACCCATTTAGATGAAAGGGCAACTTTTTTTTTTTTTTTTTTTTTTTTTGGACAGAGGTACTCTGGGAGTTACCTGTGGTTCTGGGCATGGAGGTGGTAGATCAGAAGTGCATTAACTTTTGTTAAATGCCAATTATAGGCTAGTCATTTGCTGTGTAAGATTTGTCTTGTGTTATCTCTTAAATTCCCATGGCAGCCCTAAGGAGGCAAGAAATTTGTGCCATTTTATAGATGAATCAAGGCTAAGTAGCTTCCACAAAGTCATGTAGCTAGTAAATGACACACCAGTACCTGTTGGAAACCAGTTCTGAGAGTCTTCAAAGCCTGTGTTCATTCCTCTACCACCAGATGAGAGGGGGCTGGTACTTAAGTCTGGAAAGTGGAATTTAGAAAGTCTCTGTTCCTCTCCTTCTTTCACCTTCTGAAGACACATCTATTCTCCAGCAGAACCCCTATTCTCTAGATCAGAGGTTCTCAATCCTATTCAGACCCCATCCTGCTTTGAGTAAAAAATTATTTTGTAACACCCCTTTTATTATCCTAATTAAATTCATGGATAACATAACCTGCCACGCATAATTTCATAAATAATATAATGCCATAATTGTAAAGGAGAAAAATAATTTCTAATAAAATAATATGCATTTCAATATATAAATGCTCAGATGTGACTACTTTATAAGACAATGAAGTAGTCAGACTCTTGCACCGTATAATAAACAATGAATGAGCCTAGAATTAAGAAAGAAGGTTAAATGTTATACAAGCCGTTTAGGAAAATAAAAAAGCAGATTTATAAGTGGATGCCAGGACAAAGACCAGTGTTTAAGAAAATTAATAACACTCCAGACTTACTGTTTCCTGATAACAAAAAGAGGTGAATAGCTTTAATTACAGTAGGGATAATACTCAACTAATTACCAACCAGTGAGGTAAAAAAAGGAAAAGGAGTACGACTATGTTATTTTCGAAAAGAGGTAAATGTTAATGTGCTTCCTCTAGGATTGCCAGATTTTTAAAAATAAACTATTTTATTGGTCTATCATGCACACCAAAAAGGGCCCAAATCATTACTGAACCGATTAATGAAATATGCGAGGTGACCTCCTCAGTGCAAGCAGTATACCCAGTCCAAGAAATGGAACACCATTATCGCTCCAAAAGCCCTTCTCATGTCCCCTCTCTTTTACTGCTTCCACCCTCCTTAAAAGGTACCCCCATTCTAACTTCTAACACATAAATTAGTTTGCCTATTTCTGGATTTATGTAAATGTACTCATGCAGTATGTAAATGTTCATGTTAAATTATTTCATTCAACACTGTGAGATTAAGCTAGATTGTTACATGTGCAGGATTTTTTTCCCTATTTATTGCTATATAGTATTCCTTCATATGAGGATTGCACAACTTGTTTTTCCATTCTACCATTAATGGGCATTTAGTTGTTCCAGTATGGGACTGTTTGGATCATGTTGTTTTTAATGTTCTTACACATGCCTTTGTGGTGCACATTTGTATGCATTCCTGCTGACTACATACCAAGGAGCAGGAATTATTAGGTCATAGGGATGTCTACTTCAGCTTTGGTATAAATACTGCCAAACAGTTTTCGAGGTGAATGTATCAATTTCCATTTACACTAAAAGTGTATTCAAGATTTCCAGCTGCTTTGCATCCTAGCAGCACCAAGCGTTATCTGTCTTTATAATTTTAGCCATCTTATGGGTAGCTCATTGTGGTTTAAATTTCTAACTCCTTTATGACTACTGAAGTTGAGCACTTTTTTTATGTTTACTGGTTATTTGGATATTCTTCTTTCTGAGTTCCCCATTCAAGTATTTTACATATTTTTTATTAAGTTGTTTTGTCTTATTGATCTGTAATAGTTGCTTTATATATCCTAGATCAACACTATCCAATGTCAATATAATGTGAGCAATGTGTTTAATTTTAAATTTCTAATAGCCATATTAAAAAAGTAAAAAGAAACATGTAAAGTTAATTTCGCTACTGTTTTATTTAACCTGATATATCCAAAATATTATCATCTCAACATGCAACCAATATAAAATTTATTAATGTGATATTTTGTACTCTTTCTTTTCATTCTAAGTCTTTAAATTCTGATGTGTATTTTACACTTATACAAATCTCAATTTAAATTAACCACATTTCTGGGTGCCTGGGTGGCTCAGTTGGTTAAGCATCTGCCTTCAGCTCAGGTCATGATCCCAGGGTTCTGGGATGGAATCCCACATCGGGCTCCCTGCTCAGTGGGGAGCCTACTTCTCCCTCTGACTACCACTCCCCCTGCTTGTCTCTCTCTCTCTCTCTCTCTCTCTCTCTCTGTCAAATAAATAAATAAATAATAAATAAATTAACCACATTTCAAGTGCCCAATAGTTAATATGGGTAGTGGCTCATACATTGGATGGACACTGCAGGTCTTGATGCTTTTGTGCTTATGTCTTCCTCCATATCTTGCTTATTTCTCACTTTTCTATGGGTATCTTTTTTTAATTATTATTTTAAAACATTTTCAAACCTAAAGAAAAGTTGCAAAGACAGTACAAAGGATTCTCTTACCTATTTACCCCAATTCTTTAATTGTTAAATGTTAACTTCTATCTCTCTCTCTCTCTCCCTCCCTCTCTCACTATACACACACACACACACACACACATCCAGTTGACCTTTGAACACATGAGGTTAAGAGTGCTCACCCCCTGAGCGGTCGAAAATCCACCTATAACTTTTGATTCCCCCGAAATTTAATAGTCTACTGTTGATAAGAAGCCCTACAAATAACATAAAGAGCTGATTAACATGTATTTTGTATGTTATACGCATTATACACTGTATTCTTACCATAAGGTAAGCTAGAGAAAATAAACTATTAAGAAAATCGTGAGAGAATACCTTTACAATGCTGTACTGTAAAAAAAAAATCTGCACATAAGTGGAACTTTTCATTGTTTCTCATCTGTCTCTTATACTTTTTTTCCCTGTATTCTCTGTCCTTTTGCATCTCTAAGCTTCAGGTCTGAATATTTTCTTCCGATTCAATTCCCAGTTCTTTCATTCTTTTTTTCAGCTTTTGTAATCTGCTGTTAAACTCATGCCTTGCGTTCTTACTTTTAGAGATGGCACTTTATATCTGTACAATTTTTATTTGATTCCTTTTTATGTAGGACATATGACAATGCACTGTTTGATGGGACAATGTGCTGCAGGGTGTCCAGCCTCCCTGGCCCGGTGACCAGGAGCATCCCCTCCGTAATTTTTAACAAGCAAAATGCTTCCTCAAGTTTCCAAAATATCCTGTAGGATTCAGTATCACCTTTTTTGGGAAACCCTACATTAAATGTGTGAAATCATCCTTGCAGACAGTTCTAGGCCAGGGTGTGTGTGGATCCCAGGGTCATCCTTAGAGGCTAAAGGGTAGCATGGCGCAGTCACACCCTGTGTCTGCTGCCTCCCACATCTGATAACTCCTAAAGCTATCCAAAACTCAAGAGAAAAACAGGTTGGTGTTAATATCCAGGACAGGTAAAGGTAAAGAAGGTAAAGAAGTCAACACACACCATGACCTTTCTTCTTGGGTTGGGATGGGAGTGCTCCTGAGGGGACTGGGTACCATCTTAATAATAACCTCTTGCAATTGTCACTTGCCAAGTACCAGGGCCTGATTGCTTTCAACCCGTTTTCTCAATCCTGCCGTTACCCAATAAAGAGGAATTATTATTCCCAATTTGGAGATGAGGAAACTGGGACTTAAACCTTTAAGTGACTGCCCAAGATTTTACAACTATTAAGCACTTCTGTGATTCCTCTGCAGTCCCTGCTCCACTCAAGATTTCCAACCCTTTTAAAACCTCGTGCGTGGAGCGCCTGGGTGGCTCAGTCGTTAGGTGTTCGGCTGAGGTCATGATCCCAGGGTGCTGGGATTGAGCCCCGCATCGGGCTCCCTGCTCCGTGAGTCAGCTTCTCCCTCTCCCTGCTGCTCCCCCTAGTTGTGTTCTCTCTCTCTCTCTCTCTCTGTCAAATAAAATCTTAAAAAAAAAAGAAAAGAAAGAAAGAAAAGAAAAGCCTCGTGCGTGCCACGTTTAGAGGTAGAAGGGGGCACCCTGCAGAAAAATGGGTCTAAGAGGGGCCTAATAGGGAACTGTCTGGGCTAAGCTCCATTTAGTCCCCGATTCCCCTGCTGTGGGCGTTGTCCTGGGAGCCCACGCCACCCGCCATCACTGCAGGGGCTGCGTTTTCCTAGGTCCCTGATCCTGGCAGTCCAGATTTCGGGGCATTCTGAACCCTGCGTCCCTCCCTCTTCAGCAGCGCATTCCCGGTGGCCCAACTTCCAAAGCCCTTCTGCTTAACCCCTCACCCGCGCAGCTGCTGTAGCCGCGAGTCCAGCAAACCCCCACCAGCACCCAGCCACAGAGTTCACCCTGCTCTCCGCCCGGGACCAAGGGGTGCAGGAGTCCCGCCCCACTGCGCAGGCGCGCGCGGAGCCACACCCCTTGCGTCCCCCTGCGTTCCCTTAGCAACGCGGTACACAAATGCTTGCCCGGGCCACGCGCGCGATGTGTTTAGGCAAAGCGGGTTCGCTGGGCTGGGATAGAGGAATCAAGGGTAGAGGGCAGGAGGAAGAGTGGGGAGGCTGGCGGGCGGGGGGATGCAGTCCGTCCCCTCCACGGGGTTCGGTCTAGTTTTTGTTCTCGATTGGGAACAAAACCCCAGTCCCGTCTCGGCCTACCTACAGCCCGCGCGCCCCCAGAGCGCTCACTTGGATCCAGGGGCCTTCCTCATGTGGAGTTTCTGCTCTTTCTTGATCTTCAGAGTTGCTGGTTAACTACCCCTTTGGTACACGTCAACAGCGGAAGCTCTTTCCTCACCACCACCCCCCAAACTTGTTGGGGAACAAGTTTCTTCCTCTTCGAGGAGCGCCCCACAGAGGGCCAGGATGTTACATTGCAGAAGATGTGAGTATACACCTTCCCTTGGGTGGGTCCCAGTTCCCTGACTATCTGCAAATACCCAGGTTCCATGGAAGAAAAATTCGATGGAATTTGTGATCTTTGGGGTGGCAACATGAGAAGGTGCCCTGGTCCTCTGCAGCCAGCTGTCAGATCCAATGTAGGAAATTAAAGGACCCTTGCTCCCCACTTCCACCACCCACGAAACGCAAGCCTTTCTTCATATAGTCCTCTATATTGTCCCCACTCCATTCCCACCTTCAAAAGCTCCAAACCAATGCCTCCCATTAGTCCAAACTGGGAATGTTGCTGTGCTGCTAGATCAGTTTATGAAATGTCATCAGACTGAGGGTGGGATTACGGCAAATTCAGCTCTGTGGAGCTTACGGGACTGGATTCACTGGAATGCACCAGAATGTCATTTACTCTACCTAGCCAGCCACATTTCTTTGCAGACTGGTATACCTGCCTTGCTTATGTAATTGTTTCTATGGTCTTCACTCAGAGGGGTCAAAAAAGAAAGCAACTTCTGCGGAAGATTCAGATACCAACATTTTGAGTTCACTCTGTTTTGATGACTATAATATTCTCTGTGTATCTTCTTTCTTTCTTTTTTTTTTTTAAATATACTACCTGAAGGTATATGGATTGGCATACAACCTCTCTAAGATCCCGACCAGTAGAAAAGGATATACTTTTGGTGCCAGAACAGCTGAGAGGTTTAAGGAAATCAACAAGGTTAGAAATGGCTTGAATGTGCTTTGATTTTAGTGTGATCCACGTTGCTGCATGTATTTGCCTCGGGAAGCAAAGCGGGGAGAGCGGAAAGTTACCAAAAATTGTGTCCTGAAATTCAAGAAAAATATTTAGACAAACGCTATGAAGAAGTCTATCTGAAAAGCTTGGTTGTTAGCATCTCAAATGTGTGTGAGAGCCCCGGGAGCGTGAAAACAATTCTTCAAAGAAATGGTATCAAGACCGGGCTTCAGGGCTGACACAGCTGACATTAAGTACCAAAGCTTTGTTTCTATTATCTTGCCACTTAAAAAACAAACTGCTACTTTTAAACCCTTTTGTGTGATTGGATTTCAAGTCTAAAAGTCTCCAGTATAGATCCTAATCTGTTGTTGGATATTTTTCTGACAGTGGAGCTCAAAGAGAGGGGTACTGGCTCTAAAAAATCTCTGAGTGGGATGGTGGGGGCAGCAGGTGCAACAAGTCACCTTGGTCGTTTAACTCCTGCAGATCTCTTTCTACAGCCCCAGCTTATGTGTCTTTAGATAGCTGAACCCCACACTTCTATTGGATTTCTGCCTCCTGTAGCCTTATATCTATAGCTGGGGTGGTGAAACTATAGCTGATACAAGAAGAGGATGAGTTTGTTTTCTTTAATTAGAGGCTTTATATGTATATATATATCACCCTCTAACATGTTTATCTTTTTCTGACAAACAGGACATGATGCTTTACCCCGGCATGTACCAGGCTGCAAATCCTCAGGAGCAAATACACAAACAAAATTTTGCTCCATTTAATGCCTTGTTGCCTCGATTTAGGACATACTCAAAGGGCAGTTATTATCCTGGGTATGTCTCCTCTCTCCTGGAGCATTTCATCAAACAGCAATAGGAAAGGATGTATAAAGGAGGGGTTCCATCCAAACCATGCCAGCTGAATAAGAAACCACCCACCCATCTTTAAAGAGCCAACCTCTGACCTTCCAGATATCTGGCATTATAGAGTTCTAAATCATAGTGTTTCACTCAATCAATAGCTATAAATGTGCCAGGCACTTCCAAGGGGTCCAGAGATTTTGCATTAAACCCCTCACACAAGGTTCCTCATTCCTTGGAACTTACGCTCTCAAATCTGGACAGATGAGAAGCAAATACACTCAAAAAAAAAAAAAAACTCAATGGTAATAAGGACGGTTACCATATAATTTAGCAGTCAGACAGTGACACTTCTGAGAGTGAGCTTACTAATTAAGGCAAGACCGTAGCCATGAGCTAGGTTTGCCACAGGCACACCAGGCGGTGTGGTGACCCAGTGATGTGCTGTGAAGACAGTGAACAGGGTGGTGGTGATGGATGGATGGCGCTACTTTGGCAAGGATGTCCAGGAATGTCTTTAGGGGCAACGACACTTGACCTGAAGTCTGAATGACAAGACTGAGCCAGCCCTGTGAAGATCTGGGCTAGGGCTTCCCAGGCAGGAGGAGCTGCAAGTGCAAAAGCTGTAAGCTGGGGAGGGACTGGTGGGAGGAATAAGGAGGAGGCTGGTGTGGCTAGAGTGTGGAGAGCAAAGAGGAACTGAAAACAGAGCAGGAGTGCTGGGGCTGAGCGCATGGCCCTTGTAGACCACGTGCTTCAGGAAGCCATTCAGCAAGTGTGGAACCGCGGGGCAAAGGGTCAAGGTCTTTGTTTTGCTCGTGAGAAATCCACCGATCAGTGAGTGAGTGTAACTTTCTCAAGGTTGCATTAAGGAAGTGGAAGTGTTGACCTTTGGTCCATTCTAAATACTATTTCCAACACAACAGCAAAGAGTCTACACAAAAGACCAAGTGTTATGAACAAAGGCAATTATAATGCCACATCAGTCAAACTTTAACTGGTTCTGCCTCCTTGTCCTGAGATTGCTGATTGAATTATCATTACACTTTTACCCCCAGTTTCCGATCACAGGCAGTACTTATTCATGACTATGGTAGGCTCTTTTCTCACCCGCCACTCCTGGGATCTTTTGGTCTCTCAGCCAAGGATACTGGGTTGCAGAAATATTTTTCAAACTAGAGTTCATTTTAATCCTAACTGGGATGTCAAGACTAGATCTCTCTTTTTTTTAAAGATTTTATTTATTTGAGAGAGAGAGAGAGAGAGAAAGAGCACAAGCAGGGGGAGTGGCAGAGGGAGAAGGAGAAGCAGGCTCCCCGCTGAGCAGGGAGCCCAACGTGGAGCTCAGTCCCAGGACCCCAGGACCATGACCTGAGCCGAAGGCAGATGCTTAACTCACTGAGCCACCCAGGCGCCCCAAGACTATATATCTTTAACACTCACAGCTTATCAGAAATACATTAACAGGCAAGGGAACCCCACACTTGCCCCACATTAAAAAGTTAAATGGGCTGTTACTTTTTCTCAAGGAATTAGGCCGAGTTCAGGGATAGCTGTGGTACTGACGGAGTTCCTATATGGTCCCTAAGTCATCACACGTGATGCTTTGTATTTTTATTTCTAGCCCTGGCACATACAACCCGCAGGTGAAGCCACCCCCCAAAATCACCTGGCCAATGAAATTTGGATCTCCAGACTGGGCTCAGATTCCATGTCTACAGAAAAGAACCCTAAAAGCTGAGGTAAAAAGCCTGGACTTGTGTAGAGCCCTCTCTCTTGTACTTTCATATGTACCAAGGGTTCTTATCCAGGAGTGTCTGAATGAGCTTCGGGAAGTCCTTGTTCCCCTGACAGCATATGCATGTGCAGTTTTGTGCAGACATGCATATGAGAATCTTTTTGGAGAGTTGCACCGTTTTGTTAGATTTTTAAAGGTGGGTATGACTGACAAAAGTCACATTTTCTTACTTGATCCTCAAATAATCTTCTGGTGCAGGAACCGGACAACTATACCTCGGTGACAGAGGAGGAAAATCAGGCTCTAAGGGATTAAGTGACTTGTGCAAGTTGACGACTTGAATCTAGATCTTGTGACTCCTAAGCCCGTACTCTTTCCATACACCACTAGAGTATTAGGTCATCAGGGCGCTGTAGAGCATTCTGGTAAGAAAATGGATTCAGGGGACAGACTGCCTGGGTTCAAATGCTAGCTCCCATATTGCTGGCTGTGTGATCTCCGGCAATTTTTCCAAGCCTCAGTTTTCATTTCTTTAAAATGGATGTAATAATAGAATCAAGCTGATAAGGTTTTAAAGATCAAGCAAATATAGAAAAGCATTTGACATAGTACATATAACATAATAAATGCTCCACCCATGTGAGCTATCATAATTCCAGAGGTGCTGTTTTTTAAGAGGAACCTTGGATTAATTCCACAGCTATTTGTTAAATGCCTAACGTAGCAACATCATCATGCTAGACCTATGAGTAACAGGAATCAAACACATAATCTTTGTTGTTGAGAAGTTTACCAGTTATACTTGGAGATTTACCAAGCCCTAGCATGACAGCACAGCAGCATGACAGAGACTAGCTGTACGTTGACAGAATCCTAAGACGAGGCTCATATAGGGTGGGCTACAGCTGGGCCACAACAGCAGTGATGCGCACTTCTATTTTGCACAGCCAGAAGGACAGGAGGCGGAGGGTTCTCATTAGAATATTGACCTAGACAACATTCCTTCGTTGCAGTTGTCCACCGACAAGGACTTCAGAAAGCACCGGAACCGTGTGGCCTACCTAAGCCTGTTTTACAATTGAGGAGCTGTGACCACCTTCACGTGCTCCTCCGGACCATAGATCCAGGACTGAGGACAGAGCTGCTCTTCGCCCCCCCGCACTGCCCTGCTCTCTTGTCTGCCAGCATGGGGCCCAGGGAGGGAAGGGGCTCATCACTACTGTGTGAGAACAGAAAGGCTACATCAGACTCTTCTGTGTCCATGTGCTGGTTTGTCATATACATGCATAGATGGGCCTGGGTTCCTGCCCAGTGTTCAAGGGGGTGGCTCCATTTTACTGAAATAGTCATGGGTCTCTGTCCTCATGCTCTAATTCCCAGGTTCCAGTTTTATGTATTCTACCGCTAGCCCTGGAAAGGGGGCTGCTGGCCTCTCCATATCAAGGATTGGATGACTACCTTGGGCTTATTCATGGGCTTGCTACACACGGAGGGTACTTACAGGCAGAGTAAAACATTTATATTTTAGAAACTCTTCCAGATTTCTGAGTTTCTGACATGCAATGGGCAGGTCAGGAATTTGTCCTTTCCCCAGACTGATATTAAACTCACTGGATCAGAAATTCCCCACTTCCCATTCCTTCATCCATGCCATTTGTAGGTCATCATATTAATTGAGTTCCTACCATGTGTCAGGAAGAGTGGCAAGGACTGGGAATATCGCAGGAATCAAAATAACCTCATCTCCTGGTCTGGAAGCTACAGAAACAGTGCCCTGCTGTAGACGTATCCGGAATACCTGACTTCCTGGAACACACCCTCTAGGCCTTAGACATGCTGTACTTTCTAGCACCTTCTAGCAACCCACAGAGAAACTCACTTTTACATTCTGGTATCTGAGCATGTGAAAAGAGGCAGAGAGCACAGCAGCCTGAAAAAGCAGAGGCCTGGTGGAAGTATATAACAGGACAAGAGAGAAATGGCATGGAAAAATCTAACCTGAGCCTTGGCCAGTTGAAGCTGGGGGCTGGATCCCTGCTCCCTGCTCCTTGCTGGAGAGACAAAAGGTCTGGGGTCTGTGTGACTTACCAGCTCAAAGCAGCACCACCCCATCTCAGCTGCAGTCCAGCACAAAGGCCTGGGGCTCTGGGCTCTCTACGTAAGGTCTGAGCCTAGAAGGGCCTCATTATCTCTGTGAAAGTGGAACAGCTGCGGAAGGCAGAGTACCAGAAATCCAGCCTAAAGCCTGCTTCTGGGTCTACATTTGTCCATTCCTGAGCCCCACCTCCCACCAACCGCCCAGCCTATTTTCCTGTCAGAGCCTCTACCTGCTGTAGCCAAGTGCAGAGAACTCATTACACATCAAATCTTCTCAACAAGGTAATATTCTTCTGCACATGTCTTTGATGGTGAATGGCACATGGAAGCAGGCCTTAATCAAAACCTCTACCATGATGGTGCAAAGAGGAGATTTTGAGATTTCTGGTGACATTTGTACAGTAAGAGCTGGGTCAAAGTGGAACTAAGAAAGGGGGAAGCCAAGAGCTCACTACTATTGGTTGGCTCTAAATTCTGGATTTAGGTGTCAGATACAAAGGGGTCTTCCATTTCTATTTAGCTCTTCCAGCCATGATGGTGAGCCTAGGAAAATGGCCAGAGTCCTAGAGCAGAAACTCTACCAGGAACAAAGGATATGCCTCTATCTGAAGTTGAGTCTTTATGGAAGCTAGACCCTGGGGGACCCCAGGTGAGGACTAGGGAACAGCAGAGGAGCCCTGCCAGCAGAGCCCTCTTCCTCAAATATCTGATCATAGGTCTCTTCTCCACTGAAACCTACATGGGTCCGTTTGACAGGAGAATCAAGTCCAGACATTTAGCAAGGCCCTGCCCCTCTGACCGTAACCCACCTTGGCTGCCTCGTTTCCTACTATCCTCTCCAGTACCTTGTGTCCAGCCAGTCGGGATTTCCTGATGCTCTACAATTACACAAGCTCTCTCCTGCCTCTGTGCTGTCCTTATGCCAGTTTCTGCATGAGATCCCTTTCTAACTTTCTCTACCCAGTGAGTTCCTACACATACTTGAAGGCGAAATCTAACATGGTTTCCTTTGTGATACTTCCTCTTTCCTGCCACCCCCAGGCACCATTCGCTGTAACAGTCTTTATGTCACTTGTATTATCATGAATGTGGTTGTATAGCAGGCAATGCTAAGCACTTGTTATCACAAGACATGTCAGATCTGGGGACCGAAAGAGAAAAATGAACAGTCTCTTTTCTCTTGATCATAATCGAGTTGTGGAGGCAGACGTGCAATGGGTACAATACAGTGCAATGTGTGGTGAACTGTCAGAGGTACAAAGTGCTATGGGGGGAGGGAAGGAGGAGTAATAACCTCTCATGGAGGGGTAGGCAGAGGACACGCAGGAAGATGTCAGGGATCAGGGAAGATTTTACTTACACAGATTTCAATAAATACCTTAGGAATAAATTAATGATATTTCATCAGTGGTGATGGCATAAGCAGTAAATGGAAAGAAAACTCTAGAATGTGTTTTACAAGTATAACCCAAATATGGACTGGGGTCCATGTGGCCACTTTCTGCGTGAATTCACATTTAAAAAATGCATTACAGCAGCTAAAAACAATTAAAGAGGAATTCCAATTTTTGTATCGCTTACAGAACATTAAAAAGTCTCTAATTTGTAGGCATAAGCAACATTTCTCAAAAATCTTCATCCTATGTTCCCCTTCATCAATCCTATGTTGCTGTGGAACATCCCCCCCAAGAAACTTCAGATTCCAAAGCCTTATCTTCACCTCTCCCACCCAGAGTTTCTATCCCTTCTCTCTTCCCTGTTACCTTCCAGCTTTTTAAAAATCTCATTTACTCCTCATTCCTTTCACCTTTTTTGACCCACTAGCATCTCTCTTCCTCTCTTCCTCTCTCTCTCTCTTTCTGTCCAAGTCCTTCAGTCTCTGTCACATAAGATACAAGAATCAGACAGAGAAGATCTTTATTAGTGTGGTGGGGACAGAGTGGCATATTGGAAGGTAGGGAACACTCCCATATTAATAAATCTTGTCCCTGTCCTACCATGATAGACAAGGTGGAACAGACCATAAACTGTGGACAGCTTCTGTTGGGTGCTATTTTCTAGAATCCAGGAGCAGACAGAATTGCTGGGTCTGGCTTTACCAATACCATATGTTGTTCCAGTGTCTGCGGTTTGTCCCTGCTGATGAATTTCAGGATACTCATGATAACTTGGATTTGTTGTATTTCAGTGCTGAGAACTTTGTAGCGATTATATCTCCATCTCAAGATCTTTGCTCTTTATAGTTGAGGCCATGAATAGAGGTGAGACTGAGGCAGAAACAGTGGCTGATGGGGCAGGGATGAGGATGCAGGTGAATTGGGGCTGAGCTGAGCTTCCTTCCCTTTGACAAATGAAGGCTATATCTCCCATAAGAGAAACACAACAGAAAGAAAAAGGAATTGTCAGAGTGCAGACATTAGCCAATTCCACAAGATCAACTCCATTGTGTGTTGGTGAAGGGGAATGATGCAATGATGTAGAAAAATGTACACCTCCCTCTACCACTACCACCCACAAACATCTAGATTGAGAATTCTTTGCATCTTTCTTTCCAGGTAAATCCTTCTAATTACATTTCTTGAAAGAACTTTGGGTCCCAGAGCAATACCAGTTTTGACCTCCCTAAAGGCAAAATTACTGCCTTAGAAGAACCCACTGCAGATGATTGTTCATAACCTACTGTGGAATGCAAGTTCAGCTACTGGGCTTATTTCAGACAGGAAACATGCTCAAGAGCAATACACTGTACTTGATAGAAAATTGCTAGTGAGTCAATGCCATGTCTCATTTGTAATCGCATGCCTCTGTGGCTTGCACATAGCAGACTTTATCATATAGCAACACAATAAAAATATTTAACACAATTGATCTGGATCTGATTTTAACACTAACTGTATGATTACCTGTCCACACCCCACTTTCTTCCACTGTAAAATGAGATTGGGGTTCTAAACTCAAAAGCTTTCAGGCCCAGGCAGGCAAAGGACATACGTGAGCAGCCTGAGAGCACCCATAGTGAGTAGGGAAGAAAGGGGTCTGTGAAAATACCAGAAAAAATTCATTAAAACTGTGCTGCTTTCTTCAAGAAGAAACACCATTTTGTCATCTGAGTTGGCCTCAGAGCACCAGTTTGAAATGTTCTCCAAGGTTTCTTTTTCTTCTCTAACATTCAAGAATGGAGAGAAGAATGTGTTGGAAGGGAGAGTGCTGGGAGGGCTGGTCACCTCCACCAGAGTACTTTATGTAGGTACTATTGTGTCCTTAAAATCTATGTGTGGGTCCTCACTCAGAGACCTCTGCTCTGTGTTCTCGCCCATTGGGCAATTCACAGATTCCCCCAAAGAACTGTTGCTAACTTTTTTTTTTTTTAAGATTTCATTTATTTATTTGAGAGAGAGAATGAGATAGATCATGAGGGTCAGAGGGAGAAGCAGACTCCCTGCTGAGCAGGGAGCCCGATGCGGGACTCGATCCCGGGACTCCAGGATCATGACCTGAGCCGAAGGCAGTCGCTCAACGAACTGAGCCACCCAGGCGCCCCTGTTGCTGACTTTCAATCTAGAATAAACTACTACAAGCAAAACACAAAGAAGACATTTAGAAGGAACAGCAAGGACGTTTGGAGATTCTTGATTTATTAGTTGCAGGAAGTAAGATTCTAGTGCACAGAGGGATCAGACTAGTCTAAAATGCTGCTGTCAGCCCAGAGAAACAGTAGGGCAATCCCAGAGTTCTGCTGGGAGGTTGGAGACAGCTGCCTCTTGCTAGTCTACTTAGAGACAGCAAAACCCATCCTGTTGTTCCCAATGTCGTAGACAGTGTAATATTCCTTGAGGAAAACATCTCCCAGAATCCACAGGGGCTGCCCAGTGGGGGAGGGCAGGTAAGTGGCCTCAATCCCAAGCGTGCAGTAGCCATTATTCTGCAGACAAAGAACATCAGGATATAACCAGGTGCATGGAGACGCCTTTCCCTACAGGAACTTCCCACCCTATGTTCCTTGACACCTCTGGGGTCTCTGGCTTCTTGTTCACCCTCAGCCCTGCCACTGGTGACTCCCCATAGGTGCTCAGATGTGAGCTGGGACACACAACAGCTGTTTGTGCCCACCCAAACCCATTTCCCTGGAGCCTGGAGTGCATACGTACGTTGAAGACATAGGCAGAGGGAGGCAGAGGTAATTGGGTCCCGCTGATGACGAAGGTAATGGTGGGCATGCTCTGTAGGGAGCTGCAGTTGACCACATACTGAGACAGAAGAGAAGCAGAGCTGTAGAGTGCCAGGGGACTGGGGGCCCAGACAAAGGGCCCGAGTCCCCCATTCCCTGTGAGACTCTCTTCCTGACCTTCCAGGAGAGGTTGGTTGAGAGCATGGAAGGCAAAGGCTGATTCCCAAGTACAACACCGACCAGATGCTTTTGCTTTCCTGGGCCTCCCCGGACACATCTCAGCTCTGAGATTTTGATTGTGTTGATATGGCCACAAGGAGTTAGGCTCATTCCAGAACACGAATTTCTACTGCCAGAAAGTACCACTTACAGAGAAGAAGCATGGGCACATCCTGTGTGAAGCATGTTCTCACATAAGTGTGTACCTACCCACGTACTCATCACAAACACACACACACACACACACACACACACACACACACACACCCTGAGGGACCAAGATTTAGTCTGACTAGACTCTTGCATGCAGGAGGAGCAAACTGCAGAAGCAAGTATAGGGGAACAGGGGTGGGCACAGGAGGCTGCTCAGAGTAAAAGCCAAAGGAGTATTCCCAGGGAAGAAAGAAACCCAAGTGGAATGGAGAAATGCAATATGCCTGGCTCTGTTCATAGAGTCAAATGACAGTGCCACACCAAGGTGAGATGTGTTCCAAGGGGCTGCAATGGAACAGCCACCACTCCTGACAATCATTCAGCCCATACTCACAGTTGGAGTTGGTGTTATTCCCTCCTCTTATGCCTCCTTGCCTGAAAGGCCATGCTGTGTCCCTAACCTGATCTGATCTTCCAGGAGCTCAGGTTCCCCCCGCCCCCCAACCCTTCCTCCTGTGCTGAGACTATGTGCATGTACAGAGAAACCCTTGGCTTCTGGTTACTCACATCACCATTCTGAGCCTCCTGGGCTCTGGTTGCCTGCAGGAAGGAGCTCATGAACTGCTGGGGAACAGCTAGCACATAGGTCCCTGTATCCACAACGGCCTGGCAGCCTTGGAAGCACAAGCCAGTGGCCTGGGTACCAATGAGAAACCTGAGGGAAAGAGCAGTGGAAGAGAATCAGGTGCCTCTGCCACAAACATGTGCCATGTCCACTGATAGGTAGTGCCCAGCTGTTGTATGGTCTTGAGTAAAGGCCAAAGAAGTATATCTTTAATTGGTGGTGATGGGAGATTTCCTGAAGGCTTGGAGTGTAGAAGTAACCGATTCACGGTCCTAAGCTCTGGGAACAGATATGCTTGGGCTCAAATTTTGAAATTTGTGAAATGTGTGACTTTGGATAAGTTACTGAACCTCTGAGCCTTGATTCCTTTATCTACACAGTGAAATATACTACTGACCACCTCATAGTGTTGTAGTGGAATGTACATGCAAAAATATATATAAAATATTTAGCACAGTATCTGGCACATCAAAAACATCAATGATAGCTGTTACTTTTACTGATGAAGGACTTGGTAAGGACTGTGCTCCTTGGGATAATGAAGCTCCCAGGAACAAAGACATGGATTCACAGAAGCCTAGGAATGACCAACCTGCTGACATGACAAGTTTCAGTGACCAAGTCAAAAAGTTTAGGCAAGCGCTAGATGCCTAAATGCTAGATGTCTACTGAGCTCCAGAACAATCAGCCTGAGGGTTTGCTGATTCTTTCAGAAGTTTATGCCAATGCAAGAACAGGAAATATTGTCACACTGGAGGAACATCCTAGGGGTGTCCATAATCCATAGGAACTTTCCCTGTACTTACTCATCGATGGCAATCTGCCAGTACATTTCCCGGGTGACAGGAGTCCAGACGATCTCACCAGAATAAAATTGGGAGTCCACACCTCCCAAGATGAGCTCCCCACCATACTTATAGGTTGGTTGGCTATGGAGAAAAGGAGAAGAGCATGAGTTCCCACAATACACACGATCAGGCAGCTCCTTCCTCCCCTCTCACCATCCCTCTCTCTTTCAGACACAGAGGAACCACAGGATGAGGGGTCTTGTCCTCTGACCTGCTCTTCAGACTCCACCAGGCTCAAGGCACAAGGGAGAGGAGCCTCCTCAGAGGAACACCCAGAGTATCAGAGAACTGGAAATATAAACTATGCCCATAAAAGAGGAGATAGAATTGGAAACCAGGCCCCTGAAAACAAAACAAAGCATCCCAGGGAAACCCTTCTGGGGACAAAGTGAGAACAAGAAGAAACACCTCAGAGAGTGTCTGGAATTGGGGCCTGACAGAGAGAGATCTCCTGTGTGCAGTGAAGGGGATGCTCCTGTCATGTTCAAGTTGGTAACTAGACAGTGTTAAGGGGATTCAGGCCTCCTCTGTTCCCTACTCTGGGCCTGCCAGTCACTGAAGAAAGATATTTGGCCTCAGGTTCCCTGAGGATCATGTGATTAGGAAAAAGAATCTGTAAGTAAAGTTTGCCATGAAAGCTCAAAGCCAGTAGAGTAAGAAAAGTACTGGATTTGTGACCAAGATATTTGTGTTTGAGTCGTGGCTTCACACTTATCAGACCTTGCTCAATATTGACCACCTGTCTGAGCCTGCATTGCCTCAGTGGAAAAATGGGGCCAATGGCAAGATTTTTGAGATGTCATGTGAAGTAATAACTATAAGAACTCTTTGTAGGGCCAAATATGTTATTACAAATATCATTTATAATTATCTTTATTATAAATCTGATTTTACTATATTAGTAAGTAATCATGTGGCTTGTTCTAAAGCCCTACAGCTATGCAAATCTAATACAACAATGTCCACATTTACTAACTAAATCTTGAGGGACTATAGTTCATTTTTAAGGAAAGAGTCATCTTATGGCTTTGGCCTAAATTAAAAATTCTTCTAGTGCAGGGGCTCCTGGGTGGCTCAGTGGATGGGGTGTCTATCTTTGGCTCAAGTCATGATCCCAGGGTTCTGGGATCCAGCCCCACATCGGGCTTCCCTGCTCAGTGGGGAGTCTGTTTCTCCCTCTCCCTCTGCCCCTCCTCCCTGCTCATACCCTCTCTCTCAAATAAATAAATAAAATCCTAAAAAAAAAACTCCTCTACTACATTAAAATAAAATTCCTACAAAAATGTAATTACGAATTTTCAGAAATGCATGAAATGCACATAGCCGGTTATACTCATTGTGTCAAGATATGTTAAAAACTTGGCCTTGTCTGATGTTGACTTGCTGAAAGCTCCCACAGCCTCATTTGCTGAGACCTACCCAGGGCAAGGGTGCTCACCGAGAGAAGTAGAAACTGAAGATGGGCTGGGTGAGCTGGCCTTGCTGCACCATGCTCTGCATGACTGTTTGGGCATTCCCCACTGCCAGGTTGGGGTAGGCCATTCCCAGAATACCATCAAAGTTTGCATAATAGAAGGGATTGCTGGGCTCAATCTCACTCAGACCAAATAGCTGGTTATTGATGACGATGTTCTGAACCTGGGACAAGCAGGGAAAAAAGATCAACAGTTCAGGTGGATAAAGCCTTCCCAGACTTAGGTGCCCAGGGAATGGAATCTAGACCCTTTTTTGGGGAGAGGAAGTTGGCTTCTTTCATGCTTAGCTCAATCATGGGTGGGGTATGGAAGATGAAGAGACAACAGCATCATCCAACCATGTATGTCTTGGAAAGAAGAGTGTGGGTGTTGGGGAAGCAGAGGCTGTTGTGTTCTGGAGTTAAGAGTTTCCACTTCCATGGACAGTGAAAGGACAGTGGCTGGCTTTCTATTGAACAATCCATGTGCACAAATACATAGGAACTGTGGGTGATTGATGTAAAAGGAAAGAAAATAGTGAAAGGAAGATCTTCAAATACCTAGCGTAAAGTCATGTGCAGGAGGAAGCAGATGTGCTCCATGTGGCTACAGAGGTCAGTACCAGGGAGCAAAGTCACAGGGAGGCACAATGTAAAGAGCTCCCTGCAGTCAGGACTGCTGTGGGACCAAGTCCTGTCTTGGGAGAAAGGTTTAATTAGATGGCCTTTGGTATCTTTTCCAACCATCAGCTTCTGGGCGTTCGTGCCTACCTAGTAATCATGGGTCTCTCTGACAGCTTTAGCCTCTAAAAAAGGGGAGCCAAAGAGCAGACCCACAGAAGGATGAGAACAGCACTTACATTAACAGTGTCATATCCCAGGAGCACAGTCAGGCTGCCACTTCCATAATACAGTGTATAGGTTTGCCCATTGTTTCTGTAGGTAGAGGAACTGCTGGGGTTGAACCTGTTGTGACTGGCTGTGCAAGGATAGAATGGAAAGTTAATGTCAACACATTTTCCCAAAAACTTGGAGGACAGTTATCCTTGATGGCCTGAGACCGTCAGACCGAGCCGGGGATTGGGCCTCAGCCTCAGATCCTTTGTGCTGAAGACAATCTGTAGCCCCAGAAAAGTCTGTCCCTTTGGGAAACAGATGTTGCCCCTTCCTTCCATTTCCTGAGGGATGGCTCAACTCAAAGTGACAGGAATTGGGGCCCACAGGAGAAAGCTGAGGAAAGGGAACAATGTAGAAAAGAATGGAAGCCTTGGTCTATTTCTGCTGTCTCTCTCCAGAACTGTAGCACTTGTGAAATGTAGACCAAGGGCCAAATTTCCAGATGGTCTGAATTTAAGGAGGATGAGATCATGGGTCTGCACCAAGAACTCTGGACTTGGATGCTGAAATTGTGCTCAATCCTGACTCTGCCCTGCCCTCTGCTCCTATCCATGGGTGGGTGATGACGGTGGTATACTCACAGCAGGCCTGGCTCTGGCAGTAGGTGGAGGGCACCCACAGGTTGGAGGAGCCTGTGTCAAAGAGGACCAGGAAATTTTGTGGCGGTGTCCCAATGCTGATCTCTCCAAAGTAGTAGGACTGCAAAGAAAAGTTTGTCACTCTCATTAAGTAGCCAAGCCTTGTCCTAAGGATGGGGAAGATGTTGACTCACTAGAAACCACATTTTGGACAAAGTATATTCTTCTCTTTCCAGAAGTTCTCCTTCACATCTAGAGCCAGATCCCCTCAATATTCCCCATTTTTGTCCCTAATTGAAAGACTTTGACTAGGTGAGAACTGGTCTGGCAAGCCAGTCTCTTCTTCCAAAGCATTTTCTACTTTGTATCAGGTGATAACACCATGGATTTACCTTATATGCCAGAACATGCAAACTTGGAAAAGCAATCACTTTTTCTCCATTCCCAGTGCCCAACCCCCTCCCCACATCTCACACACACACACACACACACACACACACACACACACACACACACACATCCTTCTTTTTCTTCCAGTGTTAGATATTTCCCCACCATTCCCCTCCCTCTGGTCACACAGTAGCTAAGGTGCCAGGAAATCCACAGGAAGGTGAAACTTAGTTTAGTAATGAGAAGTAGCATGGAAAGCAAGAAGAGAACTTCACTGAGCCACAGTTTAAGTTCTAAGTGAATTTGGACCAGTCATGTCAGTTACCTGCCTCTCCTTCCACCATCTATAGAAAGTGGAAGTCAAAATAGGAGATCCCTAGGGTGGCTTCTAGATCTGACACTCATGTAACATCTAAGGACAGTCCATAGGACACCAGTGTGTTGAGATGCCCTGAGGAGACACTGCAGCCTCAGGAACACTCAAATACTTGCTCTGAGTACCAGTGTATGTTTCCAAACAGGGAGATCTATGGCACCTGGAGCCACTGGAGATTTTGCTTGGAAGCTTAGCATGTGCTTTCCTTCTTTCCCCGGCAGCCCATCACTGGGACTGCCTTTGGCTCTCTCAATTGACTTGAATATGGTCACTGTGGATCTCTTAACCGTATAAATGGAGCTTCAGAGAATGAGCCAGTAATGAGAAGAAGGAAGGAATGGGAATACAATAGTGTTAAGTGGTACCAACTCATAACTTATCCAGAGACTTTCCACAGGAAAGTGAGACTTAGGTTTAGTAAAAAGTCCAAAATCAGAGCTGATGAGAGGTCTAAGTAAGTATCCAAGAATGGTTATTAGCCAAGGGTTATGGACGCCACCTCTCCTTCACTTACATTCAGGTAATTGGTGAAAGGTTCATAAGCAACAGCATCATTACTGTAAAGATACTTGGCGGCTGGATCAACCTTTGGGTGGTTCTTCAGGAATGTCTCTAATACACCCCGCTCTTCCATTACCTGGCGGATGGACTTGCCTTTCTTCAGAATGATTCTGCAGAGATTAGGGCAAACAAAAGGAGTGAGTTTCACCTTCCCCATTAAAGAAATCACTTCAATGATCTGATCTGGAGTTTTTAAACCTACTTCTACTCAAGAAGAGGCTCTTATAAGAAATCCTTCTGGATTGTAGCAAGTTCTGCAGTCACTCCAGTATTTCCAGCCTGAAAACCCACTATAACATATATTTGGGGTTTCCTGCTTACATACACTGTTTCCACAGAATAAATACCTGTTCTTTCCCAGTCCCTCCTCTAAGTTTTATAGATATTGTACATCCTTCCTTCTTGGCTAACAAAACACCAACCCACCTTTACTCACACACACACACACATCATCATCATCATCATCATCATCATCATCATCATCATCGATTTCAAGTCTAGGGTCCCTGCGGTTTTTGGGTTCATGTACCAAGACGCAATCTGCCTGCCTTTCCATAAGATCTGCAGGGGAAGGCCTTTGCTCTCCCCTAGCTTGTGATGCTCCCTTAGGGCTGAAATTCACAGTGAAACTGAATCCCCATACATACCTTTCCACACCTTCTGAGAGGTGTAGACAAATCAATACCAAGACCAGGATCTTCATGGTGCTGATTTTAGTGGCCCACAGACACACCAGGACACAGTGGCACACCCAAGGGCTGGGACACACAGAGCGAGATTGGGTCTCTCTTTTATACCCTGATCTCCCTGAACTTTTCACCACAGGCACATGGGCTTCTTAGCCTTGTACCAACTTGGGCCCTTATACATCCATGGATTCTGTTTGTTTTTCCTCCTGGCAAGAATTATGGCCTTTAATATCCACTCTGCAGTCAATTTAAAAAGCGATTAGTGGCTTTGCTGATGTAATCCAAAGATTAGGATGTGATAACAAATGTGAAATGCACTGGGGACAAAGGATCCTGGTGCCCACATCTATTGGAAAATGGGTGCTGGCAACTTCTGCCAGAACAATGGAACAATTTGTTCTTTGGCTCCAAAGTCCATGTGCTTTTTGGAGATTTACAGTAGACTCTCCACTTCTTTTTCCCCTTTTCCTTCCTGTTCCTCTCATCAGACCCATCTATAGTCTTCTGATATGATTCTCATAGTTCATGACACCCTGATCTTTATTTTCAATTTTTTAGTTCACAATTAGCCAACATTTATGGAATGTCTATTCTGTGCTTACCTCTGCACATAAGCTCTGGGAGTACAAAAAAAATTCAGATATGGTCCTTGTATGCATAGTCAGCATCCTGCCTAGACATATAATCTAATTATGAGATGATGTGATCACTCTAGCATCCAAATGTGTGTTGAATGAATAAGAATGATTAAGAACAGTATTGGGGGGGTGGAGCACGATGGCAGAGGAGTAGGAGACCTGGATTTCGTCTGGTCTCAGGAATTCAGCTGAAGAGGGATCAAACCATTCTGAACACCTACGAACTCAACAGATCAAAGAAGAGAGTAGCAACAACTGAACAGAGAAGCAACCACTTACTGGAAGGTAGGGCGTGCGGAGAAGTGAATCCGAGGCGATATTCGGGAGGACAGATGGCAGGGGAAGGGGCCTCCGTCGGCCGCTTCTGGCAAGTGCTAGAGCCGCGGAGCACAAAATCGGAACTTTTAGAAGTCGGCTCGGCGGAGGGACGTCGCTCCAGTGGCTAAGCGGGAGGTGGAACCCTCGCGGGACAGTGTGGTCTCAGGACCCTCGGGGTCACAGGAAGACCGGGGCTGCCTGAGAGCAGCAGAGCTCCCAGGTATCGGAGCGGGGAAGCCAGCTGCAGAGACGGAGCCGAGGCGCGGGATCGCAGCTCGGGGTTGCCATAAACTGTGATCCGCGGCCCAGTTGGGCCACTGCGCCTCCAGCAGGGACTCAACAAGCAGCAGAGCTGGGGAGACTCCCCTTCCTTCCCTGGGAGGAGCGGCGCGGGAGCGCACCGCAGGGATCTGCTGGGTTTGGAGACTCCATATGGGGTTGGGTGCCACAGATAAAAACGCTCGGTCACAGGCCGGGTGAGCACGGAGTGCAGCCAGAGACCGGTGAGATGGGAGTGACTGCTTTTGTCTGGGGGCGCACTGAGGAGCGGGGCCCCGAGTTCTCAGCTCCTCCGGGCAGAGAGTGGGAGGCCACCATTTTCACCCTGGTCCTCCAAAGCTGTACCGAGGGCTTGCAGGGAACAAAAGCTCCTGAGAGCAAACCCAAGCAGCTTGCTTAGCCCGGACCGACAAGGGCAGGACAATTCTGCCTCCGGCAAAGACATTTGGGAACCACGGCAACAGGCCCCTCCCCCAGAAGATCAGCACGAACAGCCAGCAAGCCAAGACCAAGTTTACCGATCAAGGAGAAAGGGAGAACTCCAGCGCTAGGGGAATACTGCACATAGAATTCATGGCTTTTTTACCATGATTCATTAGTTTTTCAAAGTTAATTCTTTTACTGTTTTTTGTGGGGGTTTTTTGAATTTTTCTTTTTCCCTTTTTCAACCAACATCTTATCAATCCCTTTTTTAAAAAAACATTTTTTATTTTTCATTTTTAGAGTCATATTTTATCCCTTCATAGTAGTTACCCTTATTTTTGGCATATATTTGGCATAAGTTGTTCTCTCTTTAAAATTTTGAGATACAGTTTCTTCTAACAGATCAAAATATACCCTAAATCACTAGTGTATGGCTTTGTTCTAGTCTCCTGCCTGATCACAGTCTCCCATTTTTTTTCTTTTCTTTTTTATTTTTTTAAATCTTCTTCTTTCCTCTTTCCCAAACAACTTCTTATCAATTCCGTTTATAAAACCTTTTATAAGTTTCATCTTTACACTCATCTTCCATCCCTTCATTGTATCAACCTTATTTTGTACATATATAAGTCTTTCTTTCTTTAAAATTGTAGGAGGCACTTTCTTCTAACAGACCAAAATACACCCAAAATCTAGTGTGTGGCACTGATCTATGCACTAGCCTGAACATATTTGATCATATTCTGGTTTTTTTTTTTGTTTTGTTCTGTTTTTGTTTGTTTTTATCTTTTTCTTCTCTTTCTTTTTTCTTTCTTTCCCTTTCTTTTCCCCTGGTTTCAGGTCTTTTCTGATTTGTATAGAGTATATTTGCTGGGGACGTTGTTAACCTGTTAGCATTTTGTTCTCATTTATCTGTTCTCCTCTGGACAAAATGACAAGACGAAAAAAAATCACCTCAGCAAAAAGAACAAGAGGTAGTACCGTCTGCCAGGGACCTACTCAATACTGACATTAGTATGATGTCGGACCTAGAGTTCAGAATCATGACTTTAAAGATACTAGCTGGGCTTGAAAAAAGCATGGAAGTTATTAGAGACACCCTTCCTGGAGAAATAAAAGAACTAAAATCTAACCAAGTCGAAATCAAAAAGGCTATTATTGAAAGTGCAATCAAAAATGGGGGCACTAACTGCTAGGATAAATGAGGCAGAAGAGAGAATCAGCGATATAGAAGACCAAATGATGGAAAATAAAGAGGCTGAGAAAAAGAGAGATAAACAACTACAGGATCACAAGGGCAGAATTTGAGAGATAAGCGATACGATAAGGCGAAACAACATTAGAGTAATTGGGATCCCAGAAGAAGAAGAAAGAGAGAGAGGGGCAGAAGGTATATTGGAGCAAATTATAGCAGAGAACTTCCCTAATGTGGGGAAGGAAACAGGCATTAAAATCCAGGAGGCACAGAGAACCGCTCTCAAAATCAATAAAAATAGGTCAACACCCCGACATCTAAGAGTAAAACTTACGAGTCTCAGAGACAAAGAGAAAATCCTGAAAGCAGCTCGGGAGAAGAGATCTGTAACCTACAATGGTAGAAACATTAGATTGGCAACAGACCTATCCACAGAGACCTGGCAGGCCAGAAAGGACTGGCATGATATCTTTAGAGCACTAAACGAGAAAAATATGCAGCCAAGAATACTATATCCAGCAAGGCTGTCATTGAAAATAGAAGGAGAGGTAAAAAGCTTCCAGGACAAACAAAAACTAAAGGAATTTGCAAACACAAAATCAGCCCTGAAAGAAATATTGAAAGGGGTCCTCTAAGCAAAGAGAGAGCCTAAAAGCAGCATAGATCAGAAAGGAACACAGACAATATACAGTCACAGTCACCTTACAGGCAATACAATGGCACTAAATTCCTATCTTTCAATAGTTACCCTGAATGTAAATAGGCTAAATGCCCCAGTCAAAAGACACAGGCTCTCAGATTGGATTAAAAAACAAGACCCATCAATATGCTGTCTGCAAGAGACTCCTTTTAGACCCAAAGACACCCCCACATTGAAAGTGAGGGGGTGGAAAACCATTTACCACGCTAATGGACACCAAAAGAAAGCTGGGGTGGCAATCCTTATATCAGACAAATTAGATTTTAAAACAAAGACTGTAATAAGAGATGAAGAAGGACACTATATCTTACTTAAAGGGTCTATCCAACAAGAAGATCTAACAATTGTAAATATCTATGCCCCTAACATGGGAGCAGCCACTTTTATAAGGCAATTAATAACAAAAGCAAAGAAACACATTGACAACAATACAATAATAGTGGGGGACTTTAACACCCCCCTGACTGGAATGGACACATCATCTAAGCAAAAGATCAACAAGGAAATAAAGACTTTAAATGACACACTGGACCAAATGGACTTCACAGACATATTCAGAACATTCCATGCCAAAGCAAAGGAATACACATTCTTCTCTAGTGCCCATGGAACCTTCTCCAGAATTGATCACATCCTAGGTCACAAATCAGGTCTCAACCAGTACCAAAAGATTGGGATTACTCCCTGCATCTTTTCAGACCACAGTGCTTTGAAACTAGAACTCAATCACAAGAGGAAAGTCAGAAAGAACTCAAATACATGGAGGCTAAAGAGCATCCTACTAAAGAATGAATGGGTCAACCAGGAAATTAAAGAAGAATTAAAAAAATTCATGGAAACCAATGAAAATGAAAACACAACTGTTCAAAACCTTTGGGATACAGCAAAGGCAGTCCCGAGAGGAAAGTATATAGCAATACAAGCCTTTCTCAAGAAACAAGAAAGGTCTCAAATACACAACCTAACCCTACACCTAAAGGAGCTAGAAAAAAACAGCAAATAAAGCCTAAACCCAGAAGGAGAAGAGAAATCATAAAGATCAGAGCAGAAATCAATGAACTAGAAACCAAAAGAACAGTAGAACAGATCAACGAAACTAGGAGCTGGTGCTTTGAAAGAATTAACAAGATTGATAAACCCTGGGCCAGACTTATCAAAAAGAAAAGAGAAATGACCCAAATCCACAAAATCATGAATGAAAGAGGAGAGATCACAACCAACAGCAAAGAAATA